GAGAGAGAACGAGCTCTTACTACCAATAAAGTATAAACAAGTAATACAATCCCGTTTATCTGGAGGTGTAAAAATTAGCGAATGTGTATGTGACTAAGAACTCAAAACCTACCAAACAAACAAAAACGTAACCCTAACTTTGTGGCTTTTTAATTCGAATGTGATAAACAACTTTCAAACATCTTGTAAGCATACAGAGGAACATTACCGCATGAAAAATGATAAACCCAAATATTGTTAGGGAAGAAGCTCAAAAATACCTATATCAAAGAGTCTGACGAAGCTGCCGAAGACTGGATTGTCCCTAAAACGTCTAGCGAAACCATCTCCATAGGTTGGTTCAAGAAAAAAGGGAAAATTTTCATCTTAAGAAGAATTAAGTACTACTTGTTTGGGTAAAACAGCGCGGGAGAGGGAGAGTAGAAACAAGGAGAATGATTATCCTTCGAAAAGCGGGTTCGGAAAGAAAAGTTTTGAAAAAGAAAAGCTTTACCAATCAAAATAAAGAGGGTACGAAAAGCGGGTAACCCTCCCGTTAAAATATGACCCTGTTGGCCAAAGTGCCAAAAGTTTGCTTAGATGATCAACATTTCTATTTAAGTAGTGTCTGGGCACGTGTATATTAAGTGATGTAGTATCCGATTATATTTCTTGCACCTCTCAAGTGAAAGACAGCTTGAGATTTGCAAAAATGAAGATGATTGGTCATTTATTAGGGTCATTGGACATTTTTATTCGGTGTTAATAGTAAATTTTTTATTACCATGTTCCAAGAAGTGTTTCTAATAAGTTCATCTCGAGCTTAAAATATTTCTAACGTCCAAGATAACAAAATGGTTTACGATTGCACTCTTAGTAACGTAAAAGATACACATAACAAAAAATAAAATAGATAAAATTAAGGCCAAACAATTCGAACTCAATTAAATTCTACTCATCTCCAAATTACGACTATTTTACATAATATATATATAACTCAACAACAAAAGATAGTTAGAACTCATATCAGAAATCAATTGATAAACAAAGATAAGGAGGAACATGAGAGGTTTGTATGAATACAAATATTTTTTGCTATTTAAATAAAAGTGAATTTACAAGTCGATTTCGCTGAAAATTAATAATATGAAAGTTTAGTAGATAAATAGAAGAAGATGACTGAAGAAAGAAGATAATGGTCTGGTGAAAAAGTAGTAACAAGCCGAGCTTGAAGCATTAACAGAGAAGATGGAAAAGGTGATTGCTTATTTTACCATGTTTTTGAGTCAAAATTTTCATACTACGGTCTACGTACCATGTATTGTGTCTGAGTACTCCATGCATCCAACATCTTATGTACATATGCCTTTTAATTGTTTCTTTTCTATTGTAAAGAGCAAAGTTTGTTGTACTAATAACAATTTGTCTTTCAAATGTCACGACCCTAAACCCGATCTCGGTCGTGATGGTGCCTCTCGTAAAGACAAGGCCAGCCAATTAAACTCAATTCACTTGTTAAAGCAGTTAAACAATATAAAAGCAGTCTAAAACATGCTTTATTGATAATAAATTACGGAAATACAACATGACACAGCCCTAACCGGGGTGTCACAAGTTACGCGCATCTAACAATACTAAATCCTCAATGTAACTACAGAGTTTTAAATACTGAACTAAGAACATAAAGGAAATAGATAGGGAGGAGCTCCAGGCTGCAAACGCCAACAGCTACCTAAAGACTCCTCGAAGATCCGCCTGAAGCTGGAATGAATCAGAACTCGGGAGCGAGACCAGCTACGCCTGAATCTGCATACAGGGGTGCAGGGAGTAAAGTGAGTACTCCAACTCAGTGAGTAACAAATATAAATAACGATGAAAGTAAGAAAACACGTAAGCGCAAGGCATTCTATAACGAAGTAGTAAAATCACTTAAAATCAGTAAAACCAGTAAAAATCAAGTAAAATCCTCTTTCAACCAGTAAACAGGTAATTTGACAGATAATTAAGATAAAGTAAACAAATAGAGGTTCGCCCCTCGGGCACAGTATCAACAAATCTGCCCCTCGAGCAACATCTCAGATCAGTACCAGCCCCTCGGGCTCAATCTCACATCAGAATGGGTACTCGCGCTCACTGGGGGTGTGCAGACTCCTGGAGGGGCCCCTTACGGCTCAAGCGCAATAACAAGCCATCTTATGGCATCAAAACTAGGCCCTCGACCTAATATCAATCAAGCCACTTGTGGCATATATATCTCAGGCCCTCGGCCTCAAATCAGTATTAGTGTTTCCTCACAACTAGGCCTTCGGCCTTACTTAGTCAAAAATACTCACAAGCCCCTCGGGCAATAGTAAAACAGTATTTCTCAGCCCAAACATCATTTAAAATATCATTTAGGTTTTAAAACTGAGTAAACATGGCTGAGTAGTAAAACGGTAGAAAATAACATAACTGAGTTCAAGTAATGAATCAAAACAGTGAGGAATTTGTAATAAAAATCCCCGAAGGGTTCA